AAAAAAAAAAAAACAGGAAATTTGGTGAATGAAAGGATCGCAGCGGCTGCCACCACCGCTGGACAACTGCAGCCAGGGCATTAGTGAAGCCACCCACGTCGACCTGCCCGGGGCGCTTTCGTCGCCGCCGGCCTGCGGGGAGCTGGCGATTGTCCCGTCGCAGTGGGAGCTGCGGGTGGCGCAGCACAGCGTCGCGCCGTACATCGTCCCGCCGCAGCAGCACTCCCCGTACGGGGCACTGGCCACGTCGAATGTATGCCCGACGTGCTACCGCCCACTGGGCACGAATGAAATGGGTGATGTGCCGTCACCCCCCAGCGAGCAGCACTTCACTCCGCAGTACTTCCGCGCCTTGGTGCAAACGCAGACGCCACGTCTGACTATTTGTGATAGCCCCTCTTCGCAGCCTCGAGAGATGACGTTGCCGCCGACAGAGTCACCTCTTCCGGCGCAGCAGCACTCTAGGCCCTGCAACAACGAAGAAGAAGAGGAGGTAGGTGCGGAGGGGAATGGGGCTGGTGCGTCCGGCAATGGGATGGCCACCCACGGGGGCCGTGCGGCGAGCGATGACGGCAGCGGCGGGTACTACAAGCGCTACTTCCGAGAGATACAGAAACTTGGCAACGGCACCTTTGGCGGTGTGTATCTCTGCCAGCACGTTATGGAGGGTGCGCCGCTTGGGTTCTTTGCACTCAAGAAAATACCCGTCGGTGACAACACGGAGTATCTGCACAAAGTCCTGCACGAGGTGCGCATCCTCGAGGAGGTGAAGCGACACCCCAACGTCGTGGAGTACAACCACAGCTGGGTGGATATAGCTCAGATCGCCGACTTTGGGCCACCGGTGCGGTGCCTATTTATACTGATGGAGTACGCGACACTGGGATCGCTCGACTCTTATCTTGAGCAGCACGGCACGGCGCTGCCAACAATTGCGGTCTGGTACTTCTTCCTCAGCGCCCTGGCGGGGGTTTCCCACCTGCACCAGAAGAATATCCTGCACCGCGACCTCAAGCCGCAGAATCTGCTGCTCACAGGACGGCGCGAAAAGCCGCCGCGTGTGCTCGTGAGTGACTTCGGCACCGCCACACTCCTTGGTGAGTTATCCTACGAGCGTACTGGCGGTACAGGGACGATGGAATACATGGCACCAGAGCTTTTTGAGTGTGCACCGGGGCATGACAGTGAGTACATCCACACACACACCAAAGCGACAGATGTGTGGTCTCTTGGTATGATTCTGCACTACCTCGCCTGTGACAGGACTCTGCCTGACCACCTGCCGAATGGCGAGGTGCTCCTCGATGTACAAAAACATGCGCCGCGCACCCGTCCACCGGAGATGGTGCAGCTCATTCGCGCTATGCTGCACCGAAGCCCAGCAAAGCGTCCGACCTGCAAGGAGTTATTGAAGTCTACGGTGGTGCGAACAATCCTGCAGAGCTTTGAAAAGGCGAACCTCTCCTCGGATATCCTTCCGACAGCCGCGGCGGAAGAGGCAGCAGACTCCACGGATCAGTATAGCATGGAAGACACACGCACATTTCGCGTGGATTGGGTGCGGCACACCACACCCACTACGCGGTCGCGGAGGGGAAGTCCGACTCGCAACGAGGAGGAAACGGAGTGTCCACAATCGCCCGTGGTGGAGGTGCCGCTGATGCTGCAATACAAGACGAAGGAGTCAAAGCGTCTCACGTCTGCTGGACTCCGTGGAACCCTGCGGGGACGGCGACCAAACACAGTGGACCGGGGTGTGCAGACTGACTACGTCAAAATTGTGGACGAGTGAGTGACACTTTCGGTGTTCTCTCTCTCTCTCTCTCTCTCTCTCTCTTTCTTTCTACCTTCCCTCTTAGTTTTGGACAGTATGTGTGTGTGTGTATCTGTACGTACGTGCGTGCGTGCGTCTATATCAGTTGTTTGATTATTTGCAAGACGAGCGTCGGCCATGGCTGTATGGCGGATGGTTGCTCCCTCGGTGTGTTACTCGCTACACTGGCGTGCCATGTTTGTGTGTGTCTGTNTGAGCGTCGGCCATGGCTGTATGGCGGATGGTTGCTCCCTCGGTGTGTTACTCGCTACACTGGCGTGCCATGTTTGTGTGTGTCTGTGTGGGGGTCTGTTTGTTTAGCCACAGCCTTCGTCCCTCTGACGAGGAAACTGGGTAAAGAAACAGAATGATACAAATCAAAAGTCCATGCCAAAGAATTGTTTTCAAACAAATGGATGAGGTCGTGCCACGTGTCAATCTCGGTGGCCTTGTGGAGTCGCTACTGCAGCCACAAGAAGACGAATAGCGAATGAGATGTGAAGGCCCCCTTAATTCGATTCGGGAGCTGACTGTCATGGTGTCGATTATGGGATGTGCTGTCTTCTTTGCGTACTTCTTTCTTTTGGGGACGATGAAGGCGGTACAGTGCAAAACGAAAAAAAAAAANTGTGCTGTCTTCTTTGCGTACTTCTTTCTTTTGGGGACGATGAAGGCGGTACAGTGCAAAACGAAAAAAAAAAAAGGCGGAGAGAGGGGGCGTGGAAGGAGAGTGTAATCATGGCAGCTCTGCGAGCCGTCGGTGCCGCGCTTGGTATTCCACTCCTCGGTGCGGTGGGGTGGACCGCATACACCAGCAGGAAGGTGCGCCACGTCGTTGTGACGGACCCACTCGTTGTATCATCGTACTGCCGCGATGTGGCAGCGAGGACACGGAATGAGGGCGTTCCATGTCTGATGTGCGCCTATGAAGTACCTGTCATTGTTCCCACCGCGGGTGTGCGGGACGCACTCAAGCACCGCGACATGGACGCGTCACTCTACGTGTTGCACGCGCTGCTGTCGGGTTTCTTTATGCGTGTGGAGGTGACCGCATCGGCCTTCATGGAGCGTCGGCGCCTGTCCGATGCGTACTTCTGCTGGAGATCAACAGGACGACGCACCCTCGCGGAGGAGCGTCGTCAAGCCGTGCTAAATCAGCAGCCTTGTAGCCAAGAGCTATCCTACGGCGAATGGTATGCAAGCCTGTTGCGGGTGCAACAACAACAAGAACAACCAGATAAACGTCACAGGGAAGCAATCTTGACTTACGAGTCTGAGTCCATAGGTGTCTCGCTGGAGGCTGCCGCTGATGGCAGTCGTCAGGCGGTGCTTCGTCTGTACTACGTCATACAGCCGTTCGATGGATTGGCAAAGGATTCCACAGCAGAGCGAGTGACGCTGTGGTGCGCGGACAAGTACGGCAAGCTTCTGACCGCTCAGACAGCATACGCTGTGGAGCATCTGGGGATTTAATAGTGAAACGAGAATGTGGGGATAAAGTCTGTTTTTCTTCTTGTGGTGTGTTATGGTTACCGTCAGTGTTGTTACTGCTGCTGTTGCTGCTCTTGCTACCGTGTCCTTTGTGGTGGTTTTAAAAAAGAAGCCACGACAGCAGGCGGTACTTCTAAGATTTTTTCTTCACGCACCCCTGTCCTGCGAAGGAGGAAGAAAAACATAGCGTTGTTGGAAGTGGTGTGGTGTGTAGAGAGTGGGGGAGGGGAGCAAAGGCTGCCAAGCACCGACGCACACACCACGCACAGAATGGAGGCTGGCACGGCAAGTGAGCCGCAGAACGATGGCGAGCGAAGGCGTCAGTCCTTTCAGATTGTTGAGCTGCTCGTAGATCTCATCTACGGAGACCTCGTCCGCGGCGACCGCTGCTGCCGGCGGGTAGCGGACGCGCTGATCGCATCGTACGAGGACGCCATCCGGTGGCTCGTCACGCGTGAGCAAACGTTCAACGCTGCGCTGAAGGGCGCCATCAACACGTACTGTGCGAGGTACGTCCTCCGCACCGCACCGGAGCTACTCATCGCGTCCAAGGAGACCGCCGCCGCGTATACACGCATCGCCGCCGTGCTGCGCGAAGGGGATGGCCTCACATGCATCGGCGAGGCGATGGCTGACGAGTTGTCGCACCTGACCCGCCGCCTTGAGACGCGACGATTTGCTCGGCTGCTGGACCTCATGGGGAACGCCGTCGTCGCGTACATGCGGCAAGCGTCGGATCAGCACGAGAAGAAGGAGGAGGCTCCAGGTGAGTTTCTGCTGCGGCAGCAGGACCAGCCCGCCTTCTGGGCGAGTGTGGGGCGATTTGCGGTAGAGGCGCCATTGCACGGCGGCCACAAGAGGCAGAGGGAGGACGAGGGCCAGCCGGCAGCCACAAACGGTGCGACACCAACGCGCGGTTTCTCAGAGGAGATTCGGCTCGCCATGAGCTCACCTGTACGGACTGCCGCTCCTCCAGTGGTTAGTCCGGGATTAATTGCGTGTGCGCAACAACAACAACAACAGCAGCAGCAGCAGCCATCGCCGTCTTCCATCGAAATGCCTCATGAGGAAGAGATGACAGCGGTAGTACAAACTGTAGCCGAAACGGCGACGCCACCGCGTGCCAGGCGTGCCATTCTACAGGTAAATGACTCTGTGGTGTCGGCTGCTGAAAAACTGGAGGGGAATGGCTCCTGCACGGCTCAAGACACCAGCAGTGGTCTCGTTATCGACGACTCGTTGGGGGCACCCTCCCCGTCCTCCGGGCATCCACAGCGTGGGGATGTCGCCGCGGCTGGCGCTGGCAGTGGCTGCACATCTGTCCCTGAAGGTGACGTGCATGTGCGGAGCTATTTTCTCTGCGCGAAAACAGGCCGCTATGAGCCCGCTGGTGCTCGGGGATTTTTCGCATAGATACAAGCTTGCATGTGGCACAGCTTCCCACTCAGATTCTCTGTGTGTTTGTATGCTTCGTTTGCGTGTGAGTGCTTTGACCAAATATCTTTTTAACACATAAAAAAAAACCTTGCTTTTTCTTCTTTATCTCCTTCAACCCCTCTGTTTCATACCCACACGCGTGATGGCGGGACAGAGGGAGCTGTGAATCTCACATGGTGTCGCTCCTGAAGTTTGCAGCGAACTCCTACAGCTACGCCGCCCCGGCCACGCAGGAGTACGTCCAATCCACTGTCTTCACACCACTTGGGTTCAGTCCGTCACGCACCTCTCTCTTTGCGTCTCCGCCACGTACCACGAACCTCCGCTTTGTGGGGGCGGGAACGCTTGGCCTGGAGGCACAAGCACGCGAGGCAGTCGAGAAGCTGCAGGGACACCCGCATTTTCGCGCCGATCTCCTGGATGATTGGGGGATGCCGTATTGCTTAACTGTGTCGCCAGTGACGGAGGGGACAGCAGAGGCAGATGCTGCAGCAGCGTCAACTCTTGAGATCACTGCCGAGGGATGCGTACCAATAGTTGTGGTAAATGTGGGTTGTGCCGAGGCTGTTCTTCGAGGAAGTGATGTGTTCGCCCCTGGAGTTTCCTCCATCCTGGGTTCTGTGGTTTGTGGCCAACGCGTCTGCCTCGCTCTGCAGCTTCGACCTGCCAAAACGGAAAATTCGGTTTCTGGTGAAGAAGAGGGTGGTGACGGACTGTTGGTGTGTGTGGGCTATGGGACTGCCTTGATGAGTCGTCGAGCGATCCTTCAGAGCCAGCAGAAGGGCGGTGTGGCCGTACGGACGGAGTGGACGCCAATGGGGCAGCCCTCCAAGTCACTGTTGTCGCAGCTTCTCAAGGCTGTGGCGGACGACGCAACAGTGACAAGAAACTCAGTGGAGGGTGGCGTCTTCTTCCTGCAGAACTACTCGAGCATGGCGGCTGTTGAGGTTCTTCTGAGGCAGCTCGGTGATGACGTCTTCCAGGGCGAGAAGCCCCTAAATTTTTTGGATGCATGCGCGGCGCCAGGCGGCAAGGCAAGCCTTCTCCTTTCTCTGCTGAATGAACGGGTTCAGGGGACTTCTCTCTGTGAGAATGGTAACAGGGAGAAGGACGAGGAAAAGGGGAAGGGTCCGGACTTCACTCTAGTTTGTTGTGAGCGCAGTCCGACTCGATACCAGCGGCTTCTCAATCTTCTGGAACGCCACCTTGGGGCATCCTTTGTGCAACGTGTCGTGCGGCCCTTCTGCGGGGATGTCAACAAACTTCAGAATGTGATGGACGGCGGGTGTGAGTTTCACGGCATTCTACTGGACCCGCCGTGCACCGGCATGGGACTACGGCCCAAACTGAGCCCACACGCTACTACCGTTAAAGGGATACGTGACTCAGCAGACTACCAACGCAAGTTGTTTGACACATGTGTAAAGATGCTACGGCGTGAGGGGATGTCTGTGCTGGTGTATAGCACCTGCACCATCACCCTCGACGAGAATGAGGCCAACGTGTTGTGGGCCCTCAACACGTATCCCTGCCTGCGGCTTGCACGGGCCAAGACGGAGCACGACAGACGGTTGTGTTCTCTCAGCACTACAAACTTCGCCGATGGCCGTCGTTTTTTGCTTCAGTCTGAAATCAACGAGGCACAGCGTCGCAACGAACTTCGTATCGGTCAGCGTACATTAGCTGAATATAATGTGAGGGACGAGGATAAACAGAAGATGGTGAAGGAGGGAGGTAATGCATGGGAAGAAGACCCGTTGATGCTGCTGCGGTTTATGCCAGGTTATGCAGTGGATGAGGAAGATGGCGTTGGATTCTTTGTGGCTGTTTTTCTCTGCGAACGCGGGAGGCCTTGACTCTGAGTGGCAGAGGGGGGTGCACATTGTGAAGAAGAGACGGAGTTGCTCCATGCTGGTGTGTGTTTGGTAGCCAGCGTTTGTGTCTCTTCTTTATTTTGTTGTTGTTGTTTTTTCGTTGTTGTTGTTCTTTTCCACAACGTCCCCATGGAACAGGGGGAAAAGAAGCGGCGTACAGGTCTGCAGAGAGGCGCGCACTCATATACACCTACACTTTTGATACAGCCTGAGGGTGTAGTGGATTCATGGGCGCAGGCGGCGATGATGCGGAGGTGACGATGCTGGAAGGAGAAGACGAGGAGCTACCCCTTGAGATTGAGGATTACTCTTGTAACACATATTTTGAAGAGGTTGTGGGGGATATTGAACGCTATCTTGTAAATGAGTTCCGCACGCGTCCAGAACTCCAGCAGTTTCTTGTGAATCCGGTGGACCGGCATCATTCGCAGCCCACCGACAGGAGCAACCTGAGTATGGTATTTGGGCGTAACTTCATTGTGGGTTGTAAGCGCGGCCAGGGGGAAGGGTGCACATCACAAGACGATAACGAGGGTATCGCTGTAGAAATTCACGTATGTGACACTCAGCAGCAGCAGCAGCGGAAGATGTGGCACCCTATTGCCCGTCTCTTTGCCCTTCCTATTTTCTTCCTTGCTCGGGGCACTACAACAGCGTCGTCTTACCATGTTAGTGAGTCTTCCTATTACCTTTCACTTCTCACAACAGCGGTGGCACGTGTGATGCGCGGCCCATTCTCGCTACGGTTCAAGAGCGACCCCTCCTTCAACACTTCGCCATTTTTTTATGCAGATGGCACAGCGCCATGTTTTGTTTCGGTGGGGGATCACTATCAACTCGCCTTCACGGGTGTGTCACCAGCATCCATGCTAGGTGTGGCCGCAAAGAGTGAGAGAGAAGAATGGACGCTGCAGCGTGTCATTTCACAGCCTGTAGTGAAGTACCGATTTCAGTGTAACGCGTATGTGAGCCCACAGGAGTGGTGCCAAAATGTTTCCGACTACCTTGACATGTTCCAGTTGCAGATTGGGCCGCAGAGTCGCGTCCGCCGGGATGTCTTTGATGGCATTTGTGTTTCGCTGCAGCGGACATTTCGATTGACGGTGCCACGGCGGTTTCAACTGGACCACGCGCAGAGCCAAGTGTCCCACACTGATGGGCGTGCAGGAACCACGTTGGTGTGGCGTGACGTTCTCGAGCTTGAAAACGAAACTATGCTGCTGTCTGCTGGACCGACGACGTTCCCTTTCGGCACCGGCACCGCACCACTGCAAGGTGTGGATTTCTCTTTTCATTGGAGCCAGCTGCATGATATGGAGGTTCACGAAGATGGAAAGCGTAGCTCCAACTTGAACCCATTTGAACCAGATGAAAAAATATTACGGAATAAATTAACACTCCGGGCCGTGGCGCATCCAAAAAAAGAGTGTGAACTTAGTCACACCGCGTGCAGAGGGATTTCAGAGCATGTCTATATGGTGATGGAGCACATCTCCTCGGGAGAAAAATTGCGGCTCCCGCAGAGGATGCCAGCGACTCTTACTATCATAGCTGATGAAATTGTATACAATCACTCAGTGAGTGTATGCAAGCAGGCGACTCTTATTGATCGACTGACGAAGCACCAGGTAGAGGGTGAGCCTGTCAAGGCAGACATCCGCAATGTGTACTTTCCTGGGACAATTTTGTGCCGTTTTGCATACATGTGTGCTAATCGAATTGAAGTTGCAGATGTACGCGCCCTGTGGAACCTGGTGGTGGACCGCCTCACAATTCTCCTTGAAGGTGGAGGTGAAAGGCGACATTCATTGAGGCAACTCATTGAATCTATTGGTCTTCCAGCCGTTGAGGAAATCAATCATGGAATGCCTCTGTTGGTTCAAAAATTACAGCTGGTTTCGTATTGTGCGAAACGAATGCTTTGTGAGAATGCGCCTACTTCGGCGAAGTCGTCGGTTGATGGTTGGGAGGATGAGACGGACGATGCTGCCTCGCACAGCAGAGGCGAGGTGTCAGCAGGCCCGTGTGAGACCATGGGGATTGGTGTGGCATCACCACGGAAACGCCTCATCACCAATGGTGAACCATTGGTGGAGCCGCAGGCCCTCCCTATACCACCATGCACCTCGGACGTGTTGTTGCTAAAGGCACAGGAACTGCAGAATCTTGGTACGGCATCGGCGGGACAACAAACTCGCGCGCTGATTCAGAGTGAAGGACTCTTCAATGACATGTGTTTATTTCTCTACGCCAACCGAGCACATGAGGGGCGTGTGGTTCGATTTCCAGACTTTATTCAATGGTACAGCCCACGTGACTTCGTCTCGCCCACAGTTAAGAAGAAAAAGCGCAATTCCAGGGACCATAACAACAAGAACGACGACGACGACGACGATGATGACACTTATTTGTCGGAGCGGATGCGGCGCCACTCCGATAACGGCTCGGCGAATGTGTGGTGGCCGTTGTGGAGCCAGGCTAAACCACGGCCACCAGCGGAGATTATTACGCGGTCATTTGTGCCGCATGAACAGGCGCGACTCGTCCTCCGCTGGATGGAGAAGGACCTTACCGACACTGACCTCCTCCTCGAGACGGTGCACGCGAACTTTAGCAACGCAGTGCACCGCATGCTTTCTCATCGCTCCATTGAAGGCAATCCAGCCATGGCTGCGTATGCTCGGAGAAAAGGGGATGCCATCGCGGCATGCCTGAAGAATGCAGTGCAGACGGAGGGTGTTTTCCCCGGTGTCGAAAGCCTCACTACGACGTACTCCATCGCAATGCGCCACGTCGGGGAAATCGAGACGTGTCTCTGCGCTGCCTTGGCGATTGAGCGTGTTTTGTGCCCATCCTCCGCGGGTCACGACTCAGCACAACAGCCCTCGCCGGAGCCCGCTGGTGAGACGTGCAAGACACTTGCGCAACTCGTCACCGCACTCGCCTCACCGAGTGAGGTGGAGGAGGACCCAGCAGGGCTTGTACTGCGTGACACCACGGTGTTGTGGGATGTGTGGCACCGAGACGGCATCTCGCAGCGTTTTTCCGCCGATAGCCGAAAACCAGTGGCGATGCTGTTGCGCGCCACATGTATGGCAGAGAGACCTCTCAACACTGCCGCCTGCTTCCAGCAGATGGTTGCGGAGACGGACGAGACAGGCGTGTTCCGCGTCGCACTTGCCCTGGCGGAGGAAGTTTTGTAGAATGCGCAGGGTGCACGGCGGGTTTGGGCGTCTCGGTGCTCCACTCCGTGGTCCATTTGTTTCTTGTTTCGTTGTTGTTGCTGTTCTTCCGATACACACTGTTCCTTTTGTTTTTTTATGGCGTATATCTTGCATTTTTTTTTGTATTTGATTGGTGTGTTTGAGTTTTCTTTGGTTTTTTTTTTTTGCATCCTTTTGTTGTTTTTCTTTTTTTTTTTGTCTGCGCCTTCTGTGTGTAGAGTCTCTTCTCCCTGGCCTCTCTTGGAGATGGGTGACATAGGCCTCTGTGTCATTCTCTGCGGTGGGTTTATTGGCTCCTTTTATGCGTGGCCAAAAGAGCGCCGCTTCGCTTGGCTGTGCCTAAAGGACCTCAAGAAGGCCTCCGAAGACGGTCCACATCGTGTGAATCGCAATGACCATGCAACGATACGGCGACGGCTAGTGTCATTTGTTGGCAACATCGCTGTGAGTTTGCTCTTCCTCGAGTACCTCCTGCGGTTGGAACCCGAAAACGAGAATCTAGCTTGGGGAAGTGCGGTAGTGCACCGCTTAATTTTTTCGGAGGACACCTTTGCGCAATCGGCGGCGACCGTTTTGGCAGCCGGAGTGGCGACGTTGGTGTTGTTTAGTGGGCCTCTTATGGAAGAGGGCCTTTCGTGCTTCCGTTTCGATGACCCAGTTCTTGAACTCCGCGACATTGTGGTATGCCCCCTGGGAGAGGAAGTGTTCTTCCGGGCATTGCTTCTGCAAATTCTTAAGGAGCACTCAACAACATCGTCTATCATTATTTCCTCTGTACTGTTTTCGCTTTCCCACACACATCACATATTTTCCTTTGCTGTTGGAGAACGCTTGGAGGCAGTCGAATGTGGTGAACCCGACGCCGACGCAATCATCTACTGGAAGCGGGCTGCAGGAAAGCTTGCTGGTGTGTGCGCCTGCTCGCTAGCATATGGCCTGCTTGGTGGGTACTTTTATACGACAGTGTGCAGGAGAAACCTCCTGGCCGTTGTTCTTTCCCATTCGATATGCAACATTATGGGAGCGCCTCCGTTTGGATTTGTAAGGGAGGGCCAAGGGCGAACACGGCTTGCGTACGCAGCTGTTTATGTTGCGGGGGTGGTTGGTTGGGCCCTGATTGTTGCGGGGATAAGGCGGCGGTAAAGAGAGAGGGATCGGAGACAACAACAAACCAACCAAAACAAAAAAAAAACGTTGAAGAATTGAGGACGCTTTTCCTTCTTTTTGCTGTAGAAACACAAAAACGGGTTATATATATACAATGATCAAAAACAAAAGATAAAAAAGTGCATATGAGGGAAAAGGAAAGCGAAAAGGAGAAGCGCCTTGTTTCCCCATTTTGCCCTTCGGAGATACCGGTTTTTTAGGCCCAGACAGCAAAAACACAAGAGATGACCCTTGGCGCCGCGACGCCCCGCCCACCACACCAGCCAGCCGCCACCACCACCACCCGCAACGCGGGGCGGCCCCAAACAGGCAAACACGCACGCAAGTGGAAAATCGTGCGCCCCCCGCGCTGGTCTCCTTTCCAAAGCGTCCCGCGGGACGTGCGAGCGAGTTCGCGTCATATGGACACTGCCCCCTAAGGGGAGAAGCCTGTGGTGTACCCTTTCTTCCCTTCGGGGTTTCAACGATCAGATGCTTGCTTTTCATCGCGTGTTTGACCAGTTCTGTCACCCAAGGGTTTCCCGCGGAGCGCCGACCTTGGGAAACCACCACGCCTTCAAGGGAATGTTCCCCGCCAAGCCCGCCACGAGAAATTCTCTTTTTCAACCCCCCACAACACTCACGCCCACAGATTCCCACAGCCGTCTGCGTGCGGAAAGCCGCGCGGCACCAAAACTCATGCAGGAGATGAACTTTGTTGGCTTCTGGGCATCCTTCTTTCTTTTTTTAAAAAAAAAAGGGGGCAGGCTTCCCTCGCGCCACGGCGGGGTTTGGCGAGCATTGCCATGGGAATGCTTGCAGTATTCCCCCCGCGCCCGGCAGCGCGTTCAAACCGGACGGCCATCTACACGCAATCGTTCCACACTGAAGATCGGCATGCCTTACACATTTTAGAAAGCTTTGTTATTCCACGGGGGTTTTCGAGAAATCCAACCACAACTTAGTTTCGTACAAGGGGGTCTTCCGGCAGGCTTCTGCACCTGACATTTTCTTAATTCAACCATTTCCACCCCAGCAACACGCAGCCTTAAAGAACGGCCAAATTTTAACCACGGCCTTTCAAGCCCCACCAGCGCCGCGGCAAACCCCAAAAACACCCAGGCGCCTCCAAAACAGAAGCCGGTCTGCCGCCAAATTCGCGGAAAGAAAACGGCGGCGCTTCCTGGAGGCCGCCGCGCCCCGCGCCGAGATTTTGCGCAAGCCGAAGCAGA